CAGCTGTGTGCCTGTATCAACAGCCACCCGCTTCAAAATTTTCCGTGTGTTTGCTTCCGGCAGGCTGGTTATAAGAAGAAACTGTGGAAGAAGTCGGCTGCCCAGAAGAAGCGTTTGAGAGAGCTGACGTTGTGCACCCGAACGCAGTGTAAGCTGCTTGATAAAATGACCACTTCTTTCTGGAAAAGAAGAAATTGGTACGTCGATGATCCCTACCAGAAGTACCACGATCGCACGAATCTCCGTCTGTAGAAGTCTTGGCTTCGTTTCTGCATCTCTGTAGGACAGAGGTGGTTCATGTGGTATGGACTTCATTTTAGAACATAAATCTGCAATGCCTGTTACTTTTCTAAATAAACACGTGCATATCATCTGATCAGAATTGTGGGTGTCAGTGCCCAAAATAAAGGAATATTGAAGATTATTTTGAGCTGCGGTTTGTATTCTACTTAGCAGAGGTTGCGCTGGTCACCTGCATGTTCTGACGGCTGCTGGTGTCCTGTGTTTGTGTGTAACATACGAACATGGATGAGTACAGTCTAAACATCGCTAAAATGAACAATTCATCATGTTTAATCTTAAAATTTTTCAAAGAAACATGTTTAAATAACCCTAGGATGCATTTTGCTGTGTCCATTCTCATTGGTGGCTCACTGAATGGAGTCTCCTTGCTGCCTGTCGCGGTACCAGATAAAAGTGTCTCCATGCTAGAGAGCACAGAACAAAAACGGTGTTTCATGGAGTTTTTATAACTGATTTTGAAATATATTGACCACCAGACTTCCTTGCAAGGCTCATATTTTGTATCCTGCGTTGGTTTTTGAGTGGCAGAATATGTTCTTTGGGTCCTACGCTACCTCCTCAAGCAGTCCGCTCCGAGTGTTTTTATTCCTGCTTTAAGCCTAACCGCACCTCGCGCTGCAGATCGCTGGTCACGCCTATAAACGGAACAGAGCCCAGGATTCAGCGCGGGGTGCTGCTGGCACGCACAGCGCAGCTCACCTCTGGTTTCACTAACGGCTGCGGCAGAGGCTTTCTCTCCAACGCTGGCGCTCCAGCGAGTGTATGAAAAGCAGTTGCTTCCAGCAGTAGCTTCAAAGCCTTCACTAATAATTAACCTGTTATTAAGCAGACAGTCCCGGGTGATCGGCGCCAGAGCCACCTGCAGAGCAGGGGCGGCTGGGCTGCGCGAGGCCGCAGCGTTTCAATGAATTCACTACTTACTCCCAGTGTTCAGTAGCTGTATTTTTTTTTTTTCCAGTTCATAATACAGAAAGACGTTCTGAAGGACATGCAGCACTTGGTGAATACATCTATGTACAGTCAGCCAGAATTGAGATAAAAATAATACAGCGATCAAAGAAGTTATTCTGGCCTGCCAGATACATTGAACAGACTAAAGAGGTGTTATTTTTTTTTCTTATTTTTTTTTTTTTAAAGAAAAGATTAAGACTTTATTCCAGATGTATATCAAGCAGCATAACAAAACCAGCAAAACATCAACCCTTGGAATACCGCTGTAACGGCCGTCCCTGTGAGGCATTAAGCGTCTCATTTCATCACAGATCTTTTCTACTGATCACAGCAAAGAAATCACATCGAGTGCACAATTAATGACCCGTAAATGGTTTATCTAAACGCAAATCCCAACGTTTCTCTGCTACTTCAAATGCGGTGTGAGATGCGAAATGGGTACCCGAAACGAACAGCGAAAAGGGGACTGTGATGAATGAGCGTTCGGTCACGAGCAGAGGGGTCCCCTCGCTCCGTCAGAGCGTGGTCGGCGGCAGCAGGTTGTTCACACCGGGGCAGGGAGCGCCGGGTCTCTCCGAGCAGCGTTCTTCCGCTCATTAGGGACACAGAACCTGATTCTCGTTCCCCTCCGTGCTGGGTTTGCATTTGCACAGTTCAGGTTAGCGTGGGATTGAGTCCAAGGGGACAGTGATAGACGTGAAGTCTCTTTTCTCTGATGGTGTCCTGATCCGGCGGTTGGCGACGGCTGCAGCTGCGCTGACACTGGCCGCTACGGCCAGGCAGGAGCCCTGGAGGCCTGCACTGAGCCGCTCAAGCTCATGCTCATCATCGAGGTGAGTTTATGGGAAATGGGGGAGGTAACTCAGGGGCCCGTTTACCACGGGCCGTCTTCAGCTGCAGTTTGCTTTCCCTCAGCCTCAGTTCTTCTTGCTCAAAATGACGCAAGTTTCACTTCAGCCTGGTGCTGGGTAGGGCTGTGTTTCCTAGGGCCGGCCGGTTCCTTTCCGGGCTACGCGCTCCAGGCCATCTCCGAGACACCGGGAGCTGCCCCGCAGGACTGACCGTAGACGCCAGCTGCCTGACAGGCCCCAAGTCGGGCTTTTCTTCCTTCAGCCAGACCTGTCACTATTTCAAGCCGTCAGCTGGCAGACTGCTTGCCGCTGGGAGGAGTAGTGGGCGAGCGGTTAAGTGGCTTTCGCCCTTTTTTTTTGAGCCCGAGCTGGGGGGGGGCTGAGAACTCCTCCCCAACACCGAGAACTGCTCCTTGACACCAGGAACTGCTCCCGACCACTGAGAGCTGCTCCTCGCCATCGAGAACTGCTCCCACCACCGTCCGTGCGTCCCCTCTCTGCGCAGGTCCTGCCAACCCTGCTTGGCCAGGCGTGGTGAGGATCAGCGCGGGAAGGTGGCTCCTCAAATCGGGCTCGTTCCTTGGCAGAGGCTCAGGAGGAAAACTGCAACAGAAGCCTGGGTGTCTGGCGTTTATTCTGACTGAACGCGCGTAGCCAAGGAGGGAAGTGACAGACCTGGGGCAACACCTGCGAACAACCTGCGTGCGGGAGGCCAGGAACCAAGAGCAAACGACCGTTCTCTTCCGGATACGGCACGCTACAGCACTATGGGGACGTGGTCAGGCATTCACATTTCTTGTCTATCTCCACACAAATGTACAGCTCCGTTGATAAATTAATACATTTTTGCCAGAGATATGAAAAGGTTTATTTTTCTCCTTTATACAGTGAATGTTTTGAGAGACATAAGGCAACTCCCTTGTCAACAATTTCACCTCAGCACTTAAGAAATGCTAAACAGTCAAGTTTACAGTACAACAGCAGATTAGACGCACATTTAATAATTTCAGTGAGAATCAATGTTAATACAGCATGTCTGAGAAGAGAATTTGCCAGCTGTTGTGTAGCTCTATGCTGTTGGGGTTTTTTTGGCATAACTGAGTGCAAACTTGTCAGCTTCTTTTTTATCTTACGGCAGCCCGTTGCATAGCAGGGAAACACAGCTTGCTTGCAACACGATTTTATTTTCTGCTAACACTACAGGCAGTTTTTCTATTTCTTTTTAATGTTTGCCAGAAGAAATCAAATAAACTCTAAAGCTGCTTAAAAATAAAACACACAAGCTTAGCTCCTCAAAGCTTTCGCTGAGTATCTTCCAAGGACTGACTCTTCTGTCAGTGCCATTTGGACAGGTTTGTTGGGATTTTTTCAGTTGACTTTCTGAAGACTTTTTCCTTCTTACCCATTGCAAAATATGACTGAACTAGCAGATGTCAAGGAAATAAAATTCTCATGTAATGAGGCCAAATACTGTGGCAGACACAGGAAATACCTGCTTGCTTTTCCCACTTCCTAGCCAGATCAGATAAACATTTGTGCGTGCGCATGATTTATTTCTCTCTTCCCCACATACGTAGGAGGCTCCGGGGGAAGCCTCAGGGATCCATCAGGCAGGGACAGCCAGGATGTCGATGCAGATCCGGCCGAGAAAAGGTTTCAAAGGCCGCTTCAGATTCATCTCTGAGCCTGACAGACACCAGCCGGCTGCTGGCACCCTGGACTGCTGCACCTGAACCAGATGGGATTAACAGCACTGTTCATCAGCAAGCACGTGTGCTGATCCGTTAGTGACGGCACGTTCTACGTAACGCTAAATGTTTTTCTAGTCTATGTGACAGGTCCAAGAGCAAACACAAAGGGCCACGTAATTAACTTATGTGTGAATCTCACATGCTCAACACTTACAAGAGACACCAACTTGAAGCACAAATACACAAACCCTACCACGTCTTCCTCTTCTTTTATATTTCTCATTTATACACGGATACAAATACATCACTCCATCTGTTCTCGTGGTTCTAACCAAACTCCACGCTAGAGGCGAAACTCCGGGCTTCGAACAGCAGCTCAGACCCAGCGCCCTGCTCTGCTCACACGAGTGAAACGGCAGCACCCCGCCAGGAAAGCCGAGCGCTGGGACTGACGCTGCTGCAGGCAGGGGAGAAAGGTGCCTTTTCCCCTGGCAGTGCGTCACTAAAGCGATTCTAACTTCTGTCGCTGCAGCTTTACAAGCCTGGCTTGCTCACACTTTAAAACTGGCAGCAGAAATTTGCCACAAGCGATACGATCTGGTTCTTCTAGCTGCCATCGTTTTCCACACAATACTCTCCTGGCTCAGGCTGATCAAAATTAAGACTCCCTCTTCATTACATCGTTGAAACCATTTATTTTCTCTTGTGTGTCTCTTCCTCGTCCTCTGTAAGTGGTTCTGTCCCTGTGGTTTTTAGCACAATGATTTTCTCAGAACACACGATTTACTTGCAGCAAGAGAAACAGAGCCGCAGCTCGGCTTTCGGTAATGAATCTTCGACATTTTGTACAGTCAAAGTACTTTGACGTTTGTTACATCATTCACAGTCTTGAGGAGGAAGGGAGGAAAGAGAAATCCATGGCTTCTGCAAATCCACTTCATTAATGATAAAGCCATAAATAAATACACTGCCAATGTATCATGATGAGTAACTGATTATTTTTGTTTCCGCTGTGCATTCACAGAGCTAGAGCTATGCAGACACAAATGAGAACTGTAACGGTACAGCCTCGCAGGATTAGCGTGAGGGGGCGTACACTCTGCAAACGAAACAAGGACTCTTCACCCGCAGGCGTCTGCCAGACTGTCCTACCCATGGCGCGGACAAACGCGAGAAGCGTGTGACAGAAGGGTACAGAGAGAGGAGAGAGAAAGGCCGTGCCTACAACGCTGTACATCAAAGCACATCCATCCCGCTGCTGTTTCCTACGTTATGAACGAGTAGCTCTTTAAGGCAGAAGAGACACATTCTGTGGATCTTGGTGCTATTGGCTCATTGCACTCACATTGTTTCGGTGGCAGAGGACGAGGTACTTTTCTTCCTGAAGCGAGGTCTAAGGGTCCTAGGCGGTGCCTGCAGCAAAGCGAGAGAAAACCTCAGTGGCGTAATAAGAAATGTTTTTTCTTTCCTTAAAACTCACCCATCTTTGCGGCACCTCTGTGGCAATGACCCTGTTCCTGGCATAAGGTGATGGAGAAGCAGATCTCGCCCCTGAAGATCATTAATGAATGACCAGCTGAGGACTAGCCACCCCTTTAAGAAACCTGTCGTAGCCCTTTACCCAGGTTACACCAATACCTTCCTCTTTGGCACGTGGCTAGAGGTGTGGCGAAATATTGCTAATAACATAACGGTCAAAGAAGGCAGGACAAACTGGTGCCATTTACAGCAGCTCTTGGATCAAACTGGGAGCAGAAAGCCAGCTCTGGTGTCTCCCAGCCCACCCTGCACTGTCCAACCCAGCCGCAGCCCCTCTGAGGGTACAGCTCAGTGGGGCATCACGAAGCCGAAGCGGGAAAACACACCGGGCCTGTAATTCTCACAAGGCAGAGCTGCTTCAAAAGATCGGCCTCTCGCCTGGGAGACCGGCCAGACTCAGTCCGTTGAAATCCCTCTGGGAGGCAGCTATGGCAATTCTGCCTTGCAGTCAGCTGATGCAGGGCTTTAAAAAGGAGCCCTGAGCGCCCAGGAGGAGCCAGGCCAACTCCATGACATTGGTTTACTGCGATTTACCCCGTTCCCCAGACGGAGACAGAAATTAGACTAGCAAACATAAAAAAACCCCTAATCTGCAGTGCATACTTCTCTCAGAAGAGCTTTGGCATTGAGTTGTGTCCTGCAAGCCTCACTATAAGAAATGATGACCAGATGTTGTAGAGGAGGCCTGTCATAGCATCGTGTAACACTGCAAGGCCTGCTAAGCTCTTCTACTCCATTTACATAAATACCCAAAGCCTTGTTTTCTTCAGCAGCATCAACCTAGTTACCTGTAAGACTATGACAGGGTCTTACCATTCCATTCGTCAGTGAGGACTTTGTCATTTCTATTTCATAGGACTTTCCAACCCAAGATCATGCTGCGTTTCCACATTCCTGTGATGCAGCAAGGTGTAAATATCCATATAGATAAGGAACTGCAGAGCAGCGAGTTTTTGTTTAGACTCCATCTAAATCTCCATCTCTTCCAGCTTGCCCATGGGCCGAGGCAGTTTCTTGTCGAGATGGGATCAATCCAAAACCCCACCCCACTGTCCAAGCCTGAAATCCTACCCCAAGTCCCCACTATGAATCCCCAAAAGCCCAACAGACCTGGATGGGACAACTGCATCCAGAAAGGCACAGCTGGAAGAGAAAAGCTGAGGAAGAAAGCTGCTGTGTGTGGCAGGCAGGGATCCTGCACCACACCAGACTCCATAGCTGCTGGCTCTGAGTCGCTCCCTGTAAAGCAAGAGCCCTGGGACACAGCTGGACAACTAGAGCAGTACCTCCTGCAGCCTGGGAGAAGGCTGCTCTTTGGGAAGCCAGATGGCTCTTAAAGCAAAGCAGCCATTAACTGCATAGTAAAGACTCTAAAATCAGGAAGGAACAGCTCTGTCTCCTCTGGGAGGTCACTTGACAGCTCCGAGAGCAGCTAAACAGGCTGCGGTCTCCTCTGGGAGGTCACTGGACCGCCCCGAGAGCAGCTACAGAGGCTGCACCTTTCCACGGCAAGAACAGAGCAGCCCAGCTTTTGGCGAGATCCCCCCGAGGGAGTATGACCCACCACAAGGTCACCGAACTGCTTACCGAACCACTCTGCTCCCGCTCCCTCACACTGAGCCAAGGGAGGGTGGAACAAAGCCAGCTGCCCCATGGTAGAGATCTGCCAGCTCGGATCTGAGAGCTGCTGGCGGTAGCTCCATGCCCCCTGCCCAGATCTGGAAGGAGTCTTTGCCTACAGCATCTCCCATGGAGGTTTATTTCCTTCACAATAAAATGTTGCTAAAATTGCTTTTGGCAAACCACAGTGTGAGATCTGCGTATCCTTTAATTCTTTATTTCCATCAAGCAACTCAAAGCGTACTTCTTAATACAGTGCCCGATCCAAAAACCTGTCAAAGTCACGAAGGATGAAGTGCTGCTGGCTTCGGTGGGGTTTGGCTAGGTGCAGACTCCAGTGAGAGGGACCGGGCTCTGAACTGTTCTCACGTTAACTATTCTGCCTTGGGGGTGAGGATGTTTTCCTCTACAGACGTGAAAGATCAACTAGCAGTTGATATCCAAATCTTCTCACCCAAATATTTCCACATGAGCACATGGTTGAGAGCTTAGGTCCGAGTTTTGCCATTCAGATCCCACTCTGAAGCCCCGTATAGCTGCTGTCTCCACCAGCACTAATTCAGACTTCTATCAGGAAACCCACTCATGCAGGAAAGTGAGCGAACCCGCAGCAAGACCCACCCCTGAAAGACCAGAAATACTTTGTTTGGACTCAAGTGTTTTTAGACCAAAGAGAGAAGTTCATTCAGTTGAAGATTCAAGGAATGTCATAGTAGGAGGAGCCTTGACAATATGGAAGTACCTCAAGGGGCTGATCCTTCTTTTTGGGTCTTTTTTTCATGGATGCACAATCCAATGAACTGTTCTCTTCATCATCTGAGAACACAGAGCCTTTTGTTTCCCAGTTTGCCTCAGGTGGCTTTTCATATTTATTGTCCACACCTATTTAACACGGCCATTTACAGTCTAAACGTGAAGACAAAGGATGAGGAAATCAGTGATGGTTTGATTCACACTCTGCCAAATGCCACCTCACTGCAAAGCCATGCATCTTGCAGGGATTAACAGACAGAAGGTTCACACATCACACTCTAGAAACAGCAGCTGTAGGGTTAGAAATCAAAAGGCTTTTGTTTATGAAGCCATTATAAGCTCTATTTGGATTATTTTACATCGAAATGAGACTAGATTCACAGCTTCTGATGTTCTGGAAGTTGACTCTAGAAAGAGATTTTTTTGTCTGGCTCAGGGACAGATGAAATAGCTGCTTTCTTGAATCGCCGACTCCATCCATAGTTCTTGCATCTACTGCTTCCAGAAGGACTGTCCTTCAGAAGACACCAAAGGAGTGCTGAAGCCCTCTGGACAGTACGGAGAGAGCTGCCTGGGATGCAGAAATACGAAACACAGCAGCACAAATTGACTTGAAGCTGAGAGAGCTCAAGCCGAGAACCCAGTCTAAGTTGCATGGAAGTGACCCAAAAGCTTCTTCAATGGGCACTGAGCAGACCCTCAGCAGCGGGTGTGTTGCTGCAAGACCAGAGCGGGGAAAAGTCTCTCCTCCGTGACTCCGGAGTAAATCTTACGGATCATTAACTCCACTGATGGATCTGAAGGCTGATGATGGCCCCATGACTGCAGACCACCAACACCTGCTCGGTGGTTCTTATCCTTGTGACTTATGGCAAGACCTTTGTGGGACTGCTCACGTTGCACAGCGCAATCCATCTGCTGCCTCAAATCCAGACAGGGAAGAAAGACAGCATTTTTAATGGACAGCCCAAAGCAAGAGGCACAGCAAAGGACACCCAGAGTGACCAGGCTTTCTGCATCTCCACAGACAGTTTCTGATCAGCAGGGCTGGAGCTTGCTTTGTTTGACTGATAAGCATTTTTCATTCTGAAACATGTCAGGAGTAGAAGTGTTTGCTGTTTAGATGGCATTAACCACAATTATTGTCTCTATGCTTAGACTGTTGTATAAACAGACACAGAAATAATGCTCTGTGCTGCTTGTCTCAGCCTGACTGTAAGAGTCTGCTGGACCAAAGACCAAAACCCAAAGACTAAACCCAAAGAGGATTCTTAAATGTCTAATATTTATGAATCCATTTAGATCCTTAAAGCACACAAGAACTGAATTCTCCAGCAGCTCTTTCAGCTGGGTAACGGAGAGACGCAGGGGCAGTGATCTGGCTACAGCAACACCACGGGTTGCGAGCGGGCTCTCCCCAGTGCCAAGTTCAAGTCAGCAGCCAAAGGCTCTCAGCCCCTGTGTTCAGCCCACAGGATGCGGCTGCTGCTCGACAGAGCGGTGCACGCCTCCTCTGGCCGCTGACCCTGTGTCTCTACCCCTTTGTCACCATTTGCATGGGCAGGCTGGAAGCCACCATCGCAGGTTTCCAGGAAGAGCTGGAAGTTGACTTTGCCCCAGCTGTACTGAAAATGCCGAGAGTCGCATTGCAGAAGGGCCCGGGATAATGCTGGATTGTTTTTTTTCTATATATGCCTGTGGGGTTAAGCCTGCGCTGTGGGAAGAATTAAGTGGTCTCTAGGCCACATGGCAAATCAGCTTGGGAACATTTTATTTTAATTACTATTTTATCCTTCCACTTGGGAAGTGAGATATTCAGGAGAGGCCTAGCTTAGGTCATCTTGGATAGGGGCCTTGGTCCTTGCACCTCTCTAAACTGATGAAAAAAGGAGTCACAGAATGAATCACAGAATCACAGAATGGTCGGGGTTGGAAGGGACCTCTGTGGGTCATCTAGTCCAACCCTCCTGCT